GAATGTTTTGGCTTCAAGTAAGACTGGCTAGTTTGCATGACAAACGTATTGGAAGAATGTCAGAGTATCTCAAGGAATCCAAGGGAGACTTGGAAATCCACGCCTTGGGAAGGGCTGGAGCCAGGCTGGCTTCCAGAAGCTTGGCTCTCAGAGTTGGTTTTGTCTAGACGGTTGCCGTGAACACCCGGCTGCCTGGCCGGGCACGTGTCTGTTGAGCTCCTGACACTGGGCTAGGCACTGCAGATGCGGAGCCGTGGTCCCTGTTCCCAGGGGCTTCACAAAATCCCAGGTTCTTGGGGAGCTGACGGAGTTGCCTGGTGCAGACTCAGCTGCTCGGATTTCTTGTGTATATTGAGGACGGTTTTCAGAGGAGGGGCCTGCTGATTTGCACCCTTCGTTCAGCGTGTGCGTGCGAATGCCCAGTCACAAACACGTGCACACACTTACAAGGAGGCTGCAGCACACAGATCCAGTCATCCTACACCCAGTCACAAATGAGCTCCCTGGTGGGGACACCCCACAGACTGTCCTCCTCTGCATCCTGAGATACTTCCGTGAGGACTCTGTTGCCTTAGAAGCTTGAGAAACCCAAAATGGCCCGGTGGCACTCTGAGCATCCATTCGCATGCCGCCCTCTCTCAGAAACATTCTTTCCTGGGCGCTAAAACCTCCAGATCACCAGGGTCCAGGCACACACGGTGGGGAGCAAACATTAGGAGGGTCGGTCATTGGATCCAGTTATGGGAGCTGTCCTCTCCAGCCCCGATCCCTCCCTTCGGACTTGTGTACCATGACTCTGGAAGACGTGACGTTCCAGCAGCCGTGGGCACAGCGGAGTTCCGCAAGACCTGCCGCTTTGGGCTGATACGGTTCGCAGGAGGACCTGAGAGTCCTGTGGCAGTTCGGCTCTTGCGCCAGTTCGTTTGCAGGGAAGTGAGTTCTGCGCAGCCTCACTTGGTTCGAAGCAGCGCTGTGTGGCGTAGAGAGCGTTAGGTAAACCTACGGACGGCGGGGCTGGAGAGGCGCAGCGGGCCGCAGTGGCCATTTGGGGGAGGACAGATCTCTGCTTCCCCTGGCAGCGGGGCCCGGCGTAACGAGCTTTCACCAGGGACTGGCTGGGCCTCAGAGGTGCAGCGCTGCGGGGGCCTCTGTGTTGGCGGCCGGACCTCAGCAGGGCTGAGTCAGGGCGGCCGTGGCGAGCATGAGTATGTTTTCAAGGCCGTGGTGCACCTTTTCCCCTGGCACGATGGCCAGTGTGCCCTTAGATCTTTTGAGCAAGGACCAGGCTGCCTGGAGGAGGCGAATGACTGGGTTACCCACAGAGCAGCCTTTCCTGCCGCCTGGTTTGGAAGATTTTCTTGTGCTTGAAGGGTAGGGACTTCTGAAGGGCACTCGTGTGGAACGTGAATGTTTTCAGGCCCTGGTTCTGTGAGGACCCATTAATGTTGCCATTTCCCACATCTTCGCCATTTTGTTTCTTCCTGGTCCCTTCCCGTGCAGCTAGGCCCTCAGCCGTTGCCCCGGGGTTCTGCGTGCCTCTCCCGTGCACCGGGCGAAGTCCCAGGGCTTGCCCACAGCGAGGATCTCCCTTTGCCATCGATTTCCTGACAGCAGGAGCAGCCGAGCAGAGACGTGGCTCCGTGCGGTGGTGAGGAAGCTGCAGACGGCTCGCTCTTGCCGAAGCGTCCAGGCTTTGCGGCGTGGGCGAGGCTGCTGGAGACGGAGGCCTCGGAGGCCAGGCCGGTGCTTCTGCACTTGATCCTTGGCCAGAGGGGTTTTCAGCCTAGAAGGAAAATGATCAGATTTGTATTTTTAGTGGATTTTTTTTCCTGGCAGCAAGTCAGATTAGATTGTTCTAGTCCAGGCAGAGCTGATGAAGGGTTGAATAAGAGTTGGAGAGATTTAAAAAAATATTGAGGCGCTAAATCGGCAGAACTGGGTGAGCGACGAGGGCGGAAAGACTCGGGTGGCGACGGTCGGTCGGCGGGAGGGGAGGCCGCTTCCTGGGACGGGAAGAGGAGCGGGTGCGATGGCGGCTTGTGGAACGGAGTGACTAGCTGGAGCCTCCGTCGGAGGCGGGCAGTGGGGTGTGGCTTTCCCCCCTGCAGCCCCCGTCCCTGCCGAGGGCCCCTTCCCGCACCCGCCTCACGTCCAGACGAGGAGAGACGGGCCGGCCAGGCCCTTGCTGGCCACACGCTCCTGACCCTGCCCAGGGCTGGGAGTTCTTCCCTGAAGCCCGGGATGGTTTGAGAGAATCTCCCACAGCTGCCTGGAACAATTTCTTCAATCTTCGGAGGAGCCCAAGTAGCTAGGAAGGATAAGGGGGGAAAGTTTCTGTGAAGAAAATCGAAAGAAGGGAGGACTCCAAACAAAAACCAGAACACGTCATTCAATTCTTTGTGCCTCTGAGCGCTGAAGAGACCTTGAGCTACGCCTGCTTCCGAGGATGGCCACTTGTGATTTTTCCCAGACAGCAGAAAATGTCCTATCATTAAGGAGGACTGTCCCGTCTTCCTGAGTCGCCCGGCACCAGAGTCCCCGCTGCGTGGCTGTGACCTGCCACTGTCACCACGATTCTCAGATAAGCCCTCAGATGTCTCCTTTGTCCAAAATGTTTCAAATCAACTTTTCCTCTTCTCTTTGAAGGGAACTGTTAACCACACGTGGATAAATTATCTTGAAGTGAGGTTGGCAGTCTTGATAAGTAGCAATTAGCACAGAGGAACTCGCCCAAAGGGCTCCCAAGGAGTGTGCTGAGGGGACAGCTGAGGCTGAGTGTTCCTGCCTTCCCCGAGCCGCCACCCCCAGCCCTGTAGGGGAATTGGTAACCAGACACTGTAACTAGCCTAGAGAAGGCAACCCCAGTGTGGACATTTTCATTTAAGAACCCTTTGCCCATCCTTCTCTACCTCCCAGAAGGAAAATAGATACCTTGGTCTTAACTACTGCCATTAGAAGGACTGTCGCACGGCCACAGTCCAGAAAGCATCACAGGGCAGCTTTCTGCTCTTTAGATAAGCTTTCCAAAAATAATAGAAGCTGTGTATTCCCAGAATTAAACTGGGACTTGTCTGTCCACCCACCGGAGAGGACATCCTACCTCAGCCTGCTGCGGAGTGTTGAAAAGGGACTTGCGTGTTCTGGTAAAAGGGAGAGCTTATGAAAAGGGACAGGAGGAGAACCAAATATAAGAACGAAATGTTAAAGTTGAGATTCTTTCTGGCATCTGACCTGAGTTGTCACTGTTCTAAGTCTGGTTCCGTCTGACTCGTTGCAGAGGGAGGAAATGCTTTCTGCCGTTAACAGGAGATGATCCAGGATGGTGTGGCCAGTGCTCTGTGGTGGATCTGTCTACACTCTGATACACACGGGGCATTTGCTTTTTTGAGGGGCAGGGAGAGGAAAGAGAATTTTTATTACTTTGCCGCAAAGGAGGGAAAATGACGGACCTTCTCGTCTCAAAATCCAGATTTCCTCGGTATTTGCTTTTGACTTGGTTCAGTGATTTCATCTGTAATTCAAAGTTGTCCCCTTATGTTCACTTCATTAACTCTGTAGTTGTAAGAACTTTGTTCTATCCCCTGCTTTTCTGTCTCCTGATTTAAGGGCCAGTTTTTAAAATGGGGGCTATTAGTCATTCTTTTGATAGGTTTTAGTTACAGTGCTTTTGGCTGCAAGTAACAGAGAACCTAATCACAGGGCTTAAACAAGTGGGGTTCTTCTCATGCAGAAGAGAAGCCCTGGGGCAGGTGGCTGCTGGCGTTGGTACAGTGGCTCCGTGACATTGGTTCTGAGGGTTCTGTATGATTTTGTTTCTCTTTTCTTTTCTTGGCCTTTCCCTCATGATGATGAGATGGCTTCTCCAGCCCTGTCCGTCACATCTGCATTCTGGGCAGGAGGGGGGAGGGAGGAGGGTGGAACGACAGCACCTTCTTTGGAAACTGCCCTGGCAGTTGGGTCCCATTATCAGCTCTAGTCCCTTGGCTGTCCCCACCATTGCCACTCCCCACCAAAAAAAAAAAACAAACAAAAACGCAGGGAAATGGGTTGCCATGATTGGCTTAAACCAGCTCTCATTCTCCAGCTACTAGGGTATTTCCTGCCCCAGGTAAATTTGAGATTCTGTTAAATTAAGGAAAAAGAAAAATGGATTTTGAATAAGCAAACAGTAGAGTCTGCTGCAGATCCTCAGTGGCCAAGGCCAAACAAAAGCCACAAATAAAATCAAGCAATAATGGTCTTTCATTTTCTGTCAGGATAATAATGGTGATTTTTATTAAAATTATTATCACAACTTTAAAAACTACAGAAAATGGCCTTAATAAATAAAGACATGAGAATTTGGCAATGTAGTTCAGAAACCTTTGTGGTTTGAATATCCTTGGATCCGTGGGTTTCATTTACAGTCTAAGGAAATAATCGTAACTGAGGACAAAGATTGCTACAAGGATTTTCCTTGCGGCATCATTTATAACAGCACAAAAAAAAGAAGAAAAAAAAAAGAGAAAGAAACAATCTTAATGTCCAGCAGTAGGAAATTGGTTAATTAAACTCCAGTATGTCTTCAGGGTAATGTTGCACAGCAATTAAGAAAGATAATGTAGAAGATCATATAATTTCATGCAAGTATTAATGTCATATTGTAAATTTCAAAAGAGGCTATAAAGTGAGGTATACAATATTCCTTTTTTAAAAGGCATGTGTGTAAATGGATGCATACATACAGATAGAAAAATGTAGAAGTTTGTGTGCTTCATGCTAATCTCTGGGTGATGGGACTGTAGGCTTAAAAAAGTCTCTTTTTCTAAACTGTATTTTCCAAATTTATAAGCATATGTGCTATGTTTTTATAAAAGGGGAAATTCTAGAAAACTTAAGACTTAGAGGGAGGGGATTCCTCACCAAAGACCACTCATTTGACAGCTCATGAGACTGGTGTTTTTCTTCCCACAGTTGGAGGCTAGAGAGGCAGCGTTCTGCGTGTCCTTCTCCCGGGGCGCTCTGGATGCTTCCGTAGTTTCCTTATTGTAGATAATGCTGGAATGAACATCTTCATGTTGAAGGCCTTTTTTTTGTCCCCATGTTCTCAATTATTTTCACAGAATAGTTTCCCAGAAGTGCTATCACTGGGTCAGTAGATACAAACATTTCTTTCCGCTCACAATACGTATTTCCACATTGCTTCTCAGTGGGGCTGTACCGATACATAATCAGGAACATTTCGCCAGCACCGCTGTTGTAATTGCCTTTAGTGTTCGCTAATTTAGCGGACAAACAATGGTACCTCAGTAGTTTGATCTGCATTTCCAGCAAGGCAGAACGATCTGTTCTGTAAATTGTTTAGCTGTTGTATTTTTTCTTCATGAATTTTGCCATTTATCTATTGAGATTTTCATATTTTTATTTTCAGTTTATATAAACTCTTTCTGTACTAAAGAAAATAACCGTTTTCCAGTTGTGCTAGCCTGGCTCTGGACATTGTCCCCAGGCTGTTGTTTCCTTGCCGATTTAGTTTTTTCATTTTCTGTTCAAAAACTTTAAATCATTCTGCAGTCAAGTCTGTCACTTTTGTGATTCTCTTTTATTTCTTCCAAGTTCAGAAAATTACCCTCCCACCTCTTGAGCAGAAGTTTGAGACATGTTCAATCCCGTTTGCATCCAAATTTTTTTTCTTTAAATTAGTCTAGGAGCATCCAGACTTTTTAAGGTTTGATTTTTTTTTTTGTAATCTTAACCCTTTAACTCATCGATAATTTATCATGCTATGGGTTTGTGGTTAAGGATTTAAATTCATTCTTCCCCCCGTTTACTAAAGTTTTCTCAATCATATGTTGAATAATCTTCCTCATTAATTTTCCATTCCCCCTTTGTCATAAGGTAATTTTTATGTAATGCTAAGACCCATTTCTCACCTGTTCCGTTCCATCGTACATCTGCTAATACTACATTTTGTTAAATGATTATTTTAAATATATCTGGTAGGGCTTGTCCTACCTCATTACGTTTTAAGCTTGTCTGAAATTTTATTTTTGATTCTCACCTGTTTGAATGTAAATAAAATCTTCTACAGACCCAAAGTTCCTCTGAGGACAGGAACCAAGTCTTTGACTTGATTTTTTTCTTTCTTTCTTGCACAGGGATGTGCAAGCCTGGAACCCAGAGTCCATTCAAACTTACTTGTACTGTGCCTGCTCTCTGCCAGGTGTGGGAGAAGGGTGCGAACAGGAAAGGTGTGGACTCTGCCATCAGGGAGTTCACAATGCGATGTTTTTACTTAAGGGGTCCCCAGAGAGGAGGGGGGTGACTCTGTCCATCCCTGCTGGACCTCACATATTTTAAGCAACAGGTAATGTGATTTTCCTCTGACAGTCTTGGAAAGGTTAAACGTGAAGCTCTATGGCAGGAGCCATGCAGGCCCGAACAGAAAGGCCGCGTAGACCAGCGTGCTAGGTTCACCGGTGTCTGGCACGTGGCAGGGCTTCCCGAAGCTGACCACCGTTTCAGAGGATAGCCTCGCTCAGAAATAAATGAGTTCCCAGCAAAACCCACAGACTTGTCAGCAGCCTTGCAACTCGCTCGCTTTTTTGTTTCGTTTTGTCTTACAGCCACATTTAGCGCTCCCTTGGTTTTTAATACATACCAGCATTATCGATCGCAGGCTGTTCTCTGTTCAAACAGTAAATTTGCTAATGTAAATCAGTTACCTTGTCAGTGACTATGAGCTCGTGATTGATATGATTGCCCTGGGATTTTTAAGAATGTTTATTACAGAAATGTTAAAACATTAAAAAAAAGTAGATGGCGCAGGATAATGAACACTCATATACACATCACCGAGATCTCACAGTTACTAACATTTTGCCACGTTTCTTCATTTATTTTGTTGAACTACTTTAAATTAGACATGAAGACATCTTACCCCTAAACATGAGTATTCATCTCTAAAAAAAAGACATTTTCCAACATAACTGCGACATCATTGACACTTCGTACAAAATACTAACTCCTGGATAGCATCTACTATCCAGGAGTCCATGTCCCAATTCCCCCCTTCCTCCCCAAAAGTCTCTTAGAGTTGGTCTGTTCAGAGTAGGATCCAATCATTGGCTATATGCTGCATTTTACTTTTCTATATCTTAAGCTTTTAAAATCTAGAGCAACTCCTCTCCCCCCCAACTTTTTGAGTATTTTTCATGACATTGACTTATAGCAGTTTTTGGATCTTTTCAGCGTAGATTTTGAAGTTTTTTATGGATTCTTTCTGTGGTATGGCTAAATTTCATTTGTTGCTTTTGTGTTAGTTACCATTTGTCGGAGGCTTTGGGGTTTGTTTTAATACTTCGTCATCGAACTAGCTTTAGTAGCTTAAAAATTGGTTCAGGTCTGACCCTTGGCTAATAGTGTTTACTGGAAAAAGCATTCTTAATGTTGATTTCTTTTTAATCTCAAATAAAATTCTTCTGGATTTGTGCAAATTTTATTGGTTTAAATGGATGCAGAATAATGAAGGTGGGTTCTGAATGTCAACCATGAATAAAGTTAATAAAAACCTTAATTCTCCTTGTTCAGTTTGCAGAGAAGTTCCAGGAGGTGAAAGAAGCTGCCAAACTAGCCAGAGAAAAGTCCCAGGAGAAAATTGAGACCTCGAGTAATCATTCCCAAGTAAGAAATGTGTCCACAAAATACGTCCAAGTGGGATCATCACCTGAGGCTCCTTTGTTCCTTGTCACTTTGGGCGAGAAAAAGGGAACTTTGGCAGCAGGGCAATTTCAAATGTTCAACTATGAGCCCAATCACAGTGAAATGGACAAGACGTGTTTTTATGAGACTGTTGAATTTTTCAGGATGTGGTACTGTATTTTTGGCAGAAGACAGTTGGTGAGATTCGAGTTAATACATGTCTGTGGCCCCCTGAGAGACGTTCTGTGGCGGCTCTGTATAAACGCCAGGGGCAAGGCATCGCGTTTCCCTGCTCTGGTGGGAGGTGAGGCCTATACATAGGATGCTGTTTGCAGATGCAGGTTTGTGCCCATGAGAGGGAAAACTTGAACCAGAGAGCCCTTGTGTCCTTCCAGTTTTAACAAAAGTCAGGTAGGGGATGATATTCCAACAGCTCTATTTTAGCCAGAGAAGATCTGGCTTTGCTAAGAATTGAGTGGTCTGTTTGCTTGAAAGTGTGATGATTGACTGAAAAGGACCTATTTTAACCTGAAATAAAATTACCTGTGTTCCTGATGTCTAGATTCGTGTATGCGATGATAAGGGAAGGCTTGACCTAGTGACAAGGTTATGTGTAGAGAGACAAGGAAAGGGAGACTTCGGGAGTGATTCTGGCTCAGGAATAAGACTGAGGCAGGGGAAGCGTGGAGATGCGCTTGCAGATCCCGTGAAGGACCTAGCGTTCTTGAGCAGTGGGTGCTTTGCTGTTTATTAGCTGTCGGTTTAATGGTTTATAATTGGATGGTTGGTAGACATTGGGAGTGGTTTTTGACTGTTGATCTCGAACGGACGTGAGGGTGCGTGCGGGTGGTAAGGCAGTCGGGAGTGACGGGGCAGGAAGGTCGTCGAGGAAGCTGTGGGGTGGAGAGTGGCTGGGCCAGGGGCCAAATGGGGACGGCACCCAGGAAGAGAACCAGGAGGCCTGGGCATCCTGAGCAGTCAAGATCCACGCTCTAGACTCGACCATCAGCCTCATGGAAGCAGTAGCTGGAGACTTGGATGCACGAAGAAGCGGTGGGGAGAGGAGGGCAAGGCTCGAGCCCTGGGAGATGAGCCCAGATGTGGGAGGGGAGCCCCAAAGAAGGCAGGGCAGGGAGGAGAACTTCCAGCATCGCTGAACCCCAGGGAGGAGTACATCAGTGCTCAGAGACTGGGTGCTGAGAGGGGCCCTGGCTCGTCAGCCGCTGTGGACAGGAGATTTGGTGGCTCGCGATGCTTCACGAAGGCAGAGCCTATGTCTGCCTTGTTATATCCCAACACCTTGTCCTGGGCTCATCGGATGACAGATGCTCCACATGGATTCATGGAAGCGAATGTATATTGGGCTTCAGGTAGATGGGAGCTTCCCTGAGTCTTTCTGAATCATCTTTAATAAAATCTGAGACTGATACTGTTAATTTTGTATACTAATTAACTTGAGTAATCTCTGAGAGTCCGTATCATTGGGCATCTGAAATGATCCATGGTCTAGAAACTCTCTAATAGCCTGTCTTTTTCTGAATACCACTTATTACAGTGATACCTTTAAATGTCAGTATCTGAATTTCTGTAAATAAGGTTTCATTTTAATATTTGTCCCCTCGAAAGTATTTTAAACCTTAAAAAAATCAAGTATACTTAATAAGATGTTATTCTATATATATGTATTAATTATGTAGAAATTTTTTTGCCTCTAAACTTTAGTTTTTGTTTACCTTCCCTGATATTTCCCCAGATACAGATATTATTATACATTTCTTTTTCATTAGAAACCAGACAACTGCTCGGTTTCCTGAATCTCTCAAAGTGTGAACACTCTGACCAAGGTTTCCAAATAGTTGAAGATTTAAACAACCTAATTTAAAAAACATTTAATGCGAGGGTTTTGTGACTATAAAAGCAGTACATGTTTACTATAAAAATAAAAAATATACCATGCTATAAAGAAAGGAATAAAAATCACCTGCACTCTCACCACTCGAAGATATATTTTGTTGGTATTTTTGTGTGTATCTAATACAGTTCTCTAGTATATTTTTATATTACCCTTTTTAAAACTTTTTATGTCATTCCTTTTCAAAACTGTTTTAAATGGCTAAACAGTATTCCAGTGTGTGTGTGTATCAAAACTTATTTCATCAACCTTATATAATTTGGGACATCTGTGTTTCTAATTGTTCATTAATATAAATAACACCGTTGAAGGTTCTTGCACATCTTTGTGCATACGATGATGATATCTGCAGGATAAATTCTTGGAATGGAGGTTCTGGGTTAAAGATTTGGACGTTTGTAAAGCTTTTGATACCTGATGCAAACTTAGCCTAGAGAAACGCACAATTCTAACTCCCACCAGCAGTGAATAGGCTTTTTCCTCCCACACCCTCATCAGCAAAGCTTTGTTGATTTGACAGATGAAAAATGTATCCTATTGGCTTTTTTCATTTTGTATTCTTTACTAGTGAGATTAAATATTTTTCATGCTTATTGACTGTATGCTTTTCTTCTTTTGTAAATATCAATGGCCTAGCCTTTCCTTTCTTTTTTTTTAAGTTAAGGTATTCATCTTTTTCATACTGATTTCCAAGAGCTTTGTTCTTTAACACGAAAAATTTTGAACATTTCCAGAGCTGGGCAGACTTGTGTAGTGAACCTCCATGTGCCTATAGGTGAGCTTTAGCAATTAGGAATTTATGACCAATTTTTCCTCCCTACTCTCCCTCCCCCAATCCCATATTTTAAAACAAATTCCAGATATCTTCTCGTTTCATCTATAAATATTCAGTTTGTGGCTCCAGAGGATGAGGACTAATAGTTTTTCAATATAGGAAAGGTATTAGCATTTTGCTTCTCATTTGTGCTGCATATATTTTCCCCCAAGTTTTTGTTTGCATTTTAATTCTGTTCGCGGCATTTTTTTTGCAATGCATAAATTTAGTCAGACTTATACATCATTTTCTTCTGGTTTCCTCCTTTGTCTTGTGCTTATTGGAGGTTAAATAAGATCTAAGATCTTACCTAGCACTAGATGAGATTTCCCCTCCATGTGGTATGATTTATTACAGAAAACACATCTGAATATTCATAACGGTGCTAAATAGTGAGGCAGTGGCAAACATCCGGATCTGGTTCTTGTTTCGTTAATGAATGTGTTGATCTAAATCTCCAGAGCTCCAAGATCTTTGTTGTTGCAGCTCTTCACGTGCAATTTCTCTATCCTGATTCACTATTTCCTGTTCCTTGTTGTTTATGACAGTCTCTCTTCCCTTGTGACTTCCCTCCTCTGGCATTTAAGGAGACCAGGTATCCAAGCTTGGCAGGTTTATCTGTAAGTTTGAGAGACGAGGCTCTGAGCATAGCCCGGGGTTCTTTTGTCAGCAGAGCGCACAGACCTGGCAGCTCATGTGGTCCTCAGGCCTTTCCCTTTGTGCTTGGTCCTCGTAGTCAGCCTTTCTTAGCCTGAGTCTCTGCTGTGTTCTGGTTGGGGGAGCTGGCTCAGCCCCACTCACGACAGTTTCTCGTGATGCCTGATCTGCTGCCGACGTGAGGCTGAGCAGTGATGTGTGCAGATGATTGGCCTTGACCAGAATCTGCGTGTGAAACCCCCTCTTCCGCTCAGGCATCCAGCGTCAACGGGACGGATGATGAAAAGGCTTCTCATGCGGGTCCAGCCGACACGCACCTCAAGTCTGAGAATGACAAGCTGAAGATTGCGTTGACGCAGAGGTAAGGGCTGTTTAAAATCCAGATCCCACCTTCTCCGTGCTCGGCACTTCCCAGGAAGCCTCTCCTGGTGGCCAGGGTTTCGGGAGATTGGAAGAGAAGACCGGGTCCTGCTCAGAGCACCCAGTCTTGTCTCCTGGCAAAGCGAAGACCACCGGCTTCCTGGCCCTTCCGTCGGGCCGACCACGTCGGTATCAGCTCCTGTGTGCAAGTGTGTCAGCGTGAGAGGTGTGTGTGTGTGGGGGGGAGAAGGTGAGTGTGAGAGTGCGATGTGTCCCTGTGCTTAAGCTTTCTTTCGTTTTTCAAGGGCTAGATTTCTCATTTATTCACATATAAGTTTGAGTCTTGGGCATCTAAGAAAAGCATATAAAAACCCAAGAAACTATTAAAAATATGAAATCACACAAAAATCAGTGGCTTTCCTAAAAATTTCCAAACAATTAAAAAAAAAAAAGAATCAGCCAGGTATGGTGGTTCACACCTATAGTCCTAGCTACTTAGGAGGCCGAGGTGGGAGGATCACTTGAGGTCAGGAGTTCAAGGTTACAGTAAGCTATCATCACACCACTGCACTCCAGCCTGGGTGACAGTGCAAGATCCTGTCTCTTAAAAAATTAAAAAGAGGCTGGGTGTGGTGGCTCACGCCTGTAATCCTAGCACTCCGGGAGGCTGAGGCGGGAGGATTGCTTGAGCTCAGGAGTTCGAGACCAACCTGAGCAAGAGTGAGACCCCGTCTCTACTATAAATAGAAAGAAATTAGCCAAACAACTGAAAATAGAAAAAATTAGCCAGGCATGGTGGCGCATGCCTGTAGTCCCAGCTACTTGGGAGGCTGAGGCAGGAGGGTCGCTTGAGCCCAGGAGTTTGAGGTTGCTGTGAGCTAGGCTGACGCCACGGCACTCTAGCCAGTGCAACAGAGTGAGACTCTGTCTCAAAAAAAAAAAAAAAAAATTAAAAAGATATATTTTGTTGAGAAGTGAGTGAAAGCCTGATATCTTAAAAAGTATGTTTCCCCTAAATTGACCTATAAATTTAACACAATCCCTACGATGATGTCAATAAGATTTTAATTTTTAATGACAGTATGAGCCGTGTTTTTGTATCCTGAGAACATGGTTCACTTCCCGCAGGCTGGGCTGCGCATCACGGTGTGGCCGGGCTCGTGCGCGCACTTGGGGCTTTGCGCTCGCTGGCCGGGGGTCTGCCCACCCTCCCTAGTCCCTCTCTCACTGAGGAGCTGCCCTCCCCAGAGCTGCCCATTTAAGAACTGGATCATCTTAGAAGCTTAGCTCAGGCTGCTATGACAAAATCCCACAAACTGGGTGCCTTAGACAACAAACCTTTATTTCTCACAGTTCTAGAAACTGAGTTCCAAGTGACAAAGTGACTCCTTGCCCAAGGTCACCTGGCTGGTGAATCTTTCCGTCACCTTCACTGCCTGCTTTCCTCTCAAGGCTGCGCTTGCAGTCTCTTCAGGAACCTTCCCAGAGGCAGCCAGTCCCGTTGCACAGCTGGCGCCACAGCTGGCCTGGCCAGTGCTTGGAGCTCAATTCCAGTGATCCGACACGGGGGTTTTGGAAAGCATGTGTCACCCTTAGATCTGACCACCTGCCTTTGGATGGTGGGTCTTTTTCAGGTACTTCAAAGGACATAACTGTGACCAATCTCTTTTCTTACTCATCAGGCAATTGTGAGAGCTATTTTTGGTTGTTCAAGTCACAATGGGCTGCCTGGATGAAAACGTTTCACCCCTAAAAATAAATGTTTTCAAAGCTGAGTTCAATGAACAGTGAGTTACAGGAATGGGCATGAAGCCGTTTCCCTAAATTAGCTCCAGTGCTCAGTCATCAACTCTAAAATTCATCAGATAATAACATTTTACTATTTTTTCTGCTGGCGGTGTTGAAACTGAAACTAAGTATTTTCCACTTGCATTCCTGGGTCCTCGAGGCTATGGGATGAAAGATAACAGATGATTCAGACACAGTTGTGTTTACTTAAAAAAAAAATTTAAAGCCTTTAGAAAGAGGACTCTCCTCTGCCGGGAATGGACCTCCTGATGGGCTGTCATGCGCAGCTCTGCCCTGTCGCCTCAGGTCACAGTCGGTGCCACAGATGTGGGGGCTCCAAGGCAAGGAAATTAAAGGAGGGTTGAAGGGAACAGTGACTGAGGGGACCCTGATTCCAGTTTGTTTGTTTTAAACTTTTCCCTCACTGAGCACATAGAATAGAAGATAAAACACGAGGCTTTTGTGGGGATGGCAGGTGTCCCTCGGACCACTGGTCTCCTCACACCCCTGGGCCAGCCAGGGCTCCCTGCCACACCGCGAGGTTAGAGCCCTGTTCTGCCCACAGAGGGTGGATTCCCTGTCACCGTCCCCTCTGTCCTCAAGCCCTGGGCTCTCAAATATGGATTCCTTTAAAGGCTCTGAGGAGGCACAGGTCACAGTGGGGCTGTTACCACCCTGGAGCTGGGGTGCGTGTTAGGCGGTTTGTTTAAACTCGGGTCCTCGAGGTGTCCAAGGCCTTCAGGAGATTCTCAAAGGGCCCCCTGGGCCAACCCAGCAACTCAGAACCTCTGTCCTTGAGAAGGAGCCGGCGTGAGAGGCTTCCTTGGCAGCAGGTCAGCAGGGACTGGGGGTTGGGTCTCCGCCACCCTCTGTGGCCTTCATGCTTAGCCCTGTCTCTTCATTCTTTAAGAACTCTGTTCTCCTCTAAGGGGATTCTTTAAGGAGGCAGCCGGCAAGGTGACGTGCTCACAGCAGAGAGGGGCCAGTCCCTCTTGGCACTTGGTCAGTGCAGCCAGGCCCACCGGCCAGCCCACTGGGGGAGAAGGGGGCCCCCTGGGGTGGGCCGAGGGGGCGGCAGAGCCGGTGGAGGCGCCGCAGGATGGACAGCACCCGCCGCGTCATCAGCCCCCCTCCTGCCCTGCAGCGCGGCCAACGTGAAGAAGTGGGAGATCGAGCTGCAGACCCTGCGGGAGAGCAACGCCCGGCTGACCACGGCGCTGCAGGAGTCGGCGGCCAGCGTGGAGCAGTGGAAGAGGCAGTTCTCCATCTGCCGCGACGAGAATGACCGGCTCCGCAACAAGGTGGGCCGCGGGGGCGGCTGGCTGGCGTGGTCCTTTCTCTCTCCCCTCTCACTTGCCCTCGTCCCCACGGCCAGAGGAAGACTTGCTGCCCCTCCTGTGGAACGGCCTCCATCTCCCCGCCTTCCTTAGTAGGAATGTAACCATACATATAATATGTTACCTTTCCCGAACCAGGTTTTATAATTCATATTGCTAAGGAGAAGACAGACAAACTGGAAATGTCAGCCCTGTCCCTCTCACAGGGCGCCCATGATCCTAGTCGTAGGTTGGCCTCTTGCCGTGGGGGCCTCCCATGGCACTTCTGTTTGGAGCAGAGGGATCCGGGGGCAAGTGAGAAACTAGGTTTGGGAAGTGATGAGGAGCATCTGCTTCCATGCCAAACACGTCAGTTTGGAAGTGAGGAAAGGAACGTGGCGCTTGAAGCGTGACGGGGGTGGGTGGGTGGATGCGTGCTGACCACTCATGTGCCCTCTACTCTCCGACCTTGACATCGTAGCATTTTGATTTTTTTCAAAATTCACCTGTAACCTTCACTGTAATTAATCACTCACACTCTTTGTAGTTCTGCTGAGTTGACAATGTGGTTTCGGGGTGGCCAGAGACTCCCCCATTGAGGCCTTGAAGTCCTGCGCTAATCACGTTTTGATGGTGATCAGTCCCCCAGCTGTGAGTGCATGGGGGTCCGTGCCATCAGTGAGGGTTTCGGGGGGACATGACCCATTTAGATTGGTGTCCACTCTCCCTCAGCCCCATTTAGGACCTGCCCTGCCCAGCTAGGACAGAGCCACTGCAGGCCTCTGTCACACCATCTTGCTTTGGTGCTGGTGGCACGTAAAACTGCCTCGTGTCACTTTTGCATCTCCATGTGGGAAGTGCTGACAGTCGGGGCACCAGGCCAGTTGCTGACTTTGCACGTTCCCGTCCCAGGCCTGGCAGAGCTGCCTGCCAGAGGGATTGATGGCCCTTTCTTTCATTTTTCAAGCAGAGAGCTGAGTTTCTCGCTTGGGTCTGAGCGTTAGGACCAAAGGCAGCGCAGGCAGTGGAGCGAGAGCATCACAGGGAACCTGCTCCCGTGGAGCAGAATTGACTTCCCTGGCGGGATGTGAGGGAGGGAGCTCGGCTTCCAGGGCTGGAGGTGGCAGTTGGTGGGATCTCCAGCAGCAGCGACGGCAGGGGGCTCAGACCCTGAGGATTGGCACAGGCTACAGTGCTCTGGTGCTACGCGTGGGGTCCACTCCTACTGTCCACTCTGCACACACATTTTGGCCCCCAGGAAATGCCCAGCATCCGATGGCAGCGTCAGGGTGTCGGGCCTTGGCACGCTCACTCCACACGAGTGACCTTTTTGAGGGCTCAGACTTGGGGAGGAGGGAGAGATGCAGTCTGGGGATTTGCCGTTCAGCCTTGAGAGGCAGCCCGCAGGCCAGGCCCCTTCTGCGTGCATCAGTAGGGGAAGGTCATCTTGCTTTACAGTGTTTGAAATGTCATCGCTTCCCACTTGGTAGCCACGTCCCACAGAGTAGCTCAGTTGTCTACCCTGCCGGCTTAAACCCGTAAGATGAAACAGAATAATTCAGGACATGATTAAAATGCTGTAAAAATCATTCTGGGGAGAAGCAGATGACTTCAGGGGCCATCAGGCTCTAGCCTGTGACAGATCCATAAAGCAAACCTAAGGTTACTCCCGTGGCTGTGAGACAAAACCAGGAGCCCGGAGCATCGTGCAGTCAGGTGTCACTACCGACTCGACTGCCCCGGTGTTAAGCGAGGCGTCCTGTGCACCCGAGGGCCCCATGGACAAGCCGCGGGGAGTATATCCCTAGCCACAAAGAAAAATCCATGAGTGGGTTCGCGTACGGCTTGTTTTAAAAGAAAGCACGAACGTAGCTGTGCTGAGCCCTGTTTGGCGCCTGCGGTAAACTAGCGCCCTGCTCTAACGCACGGTGTCCGTTAGATCGACGAGCTGGAAGAGCAGTGCGGCGAGATCAACAGAGAGAAGGAGAAGAACTCCCAGCTGAAGAGGAGGATCGAGGAGCTGGAGGCAGAACTCCGAGAAAAGGAGACGGTGAGTGACGCTGCTCTGGGCACGGCCCCTGGCATCCTCTGGGCCTTGGGAGGTGACCTCCACCCGAGGACGCAGCAGGTGGCCTGGGGCACGTGACCGGCCCTGGCAGCTGCCTGGATGCCAGCACAGAGAGCACCACAAGCCGCCCCAAGGTGCAGCTGCGGCAGGGCAGAGGCACTGTCACCCCCGCAGCCTCCTTGTGCGCGTTACACAGTCGCTCAGGCCCCAGAGGGAGCTGTGTTTGGCAGGATGCTCGGTCACTTCTGTGGGTGACCTGTCAGCGGCCGCGTCCTGCTGTCCAGTCAGGGCAGTGAGAGCCCCAGCCATGCGGCTGTGTGTCTTCTGTGGCAGCACAGCTGAGTACACACGTCGTAGACCATGGGCAAATTACTGAACCTCTCTAGGCCTCAGTTTCCCCATCTAAAAACGGGAATCATAAGAATATCTGCCTTTTTAATGTCAGTTTACAGATATCATGCAATGACACACGTCATGCGGCCCCCTGGGATTACCGGATGTTTAAGTATTAGCATTGTCACCACTGTCATTTGTGCAAACAGGACAGGTTCCAAAAGCCGCTTCCATTAGGGTATGCCGGGTCGATGATGTTCAAGAGGATGTTTTATCTGACTCGCTGTCATGTTCTCTCTCAAATTTCTGTCTCCTGTAGGAGTTGAAGGATCTCCGCAAACAAAGTGAAATCATACCTCAGCTCATGTCAGAGTGCGAGTATGTCTCTGAGAAGCTAGAGGTGAGCAGAGGGTGACGGCAGGTCCGTCCTGGCTCAGACAGGGCGGCAGCTGTCGTGTTACTCGCTTCTCCGCTCCTGCTCGCTTTCGCGCCTGCAAAGGGAAGAAGAGCAATTCTCCACTCACGAAAAGCTGGTGGTGACTGCATGCCAGATGGCATTGCGGGCCACCCCTGTCCCGGGGGCAGACGCGGCGGCGTTTGTCTTTTGGTTTTTCCACTTGTACGAAGTTGTCCTGTGTATAATCATAGTAGGCGACGGTTTCCCACCCACAGAAGTCCCTGCAGAGCCACAGAGGAGTGCGGAGCGGGGGGTGGGAGGGTGCAGCCACCTTGGCTGCTCCCAGTCACTGACCTTGGGCACTGACCTTGGGCAGGCCTTCCTCCCTGGCCTCAGACTTCCGATCCATAAAATGAGGGTTTTCAGGTCCCCCTGCCCCTCTGAGGGCCTCCTGCCTTCAGGCCCTTCAGCATCCCCAAAGAGCGCTTCACGTAGTTACAGAACCCAGCGCTGGCACTGGTTCCTGTGCACGTGCCCACAGAAGCCTCCGTTATGCCCGCAAAACCAACCTCATTCGATACGAAGACTGCAAGGCGGGGGCCCACTTACGGCCTCACCGTTGTCCTGCCTGTGGGAGCCCGTGTCTGATTTACCTAGACCTGCCTCGCGGGCTCGTGGGGCCCGACTCCACAGAACGTCTCCATGGTAACAGCATCGGGGCACCGGCTGGCTGTCCCCGAGTCACTACGTGGCCAGCGCTCCCTCACGAGGGCTGGCGGCCAGCCCTGGGGCGGAGGAGGCCGCCCTGCTCCGTGGCAGCGGGAAGGCAGGCCCCCATCCCTCTGTTCTGTCCCTCTCAGAATGGAACCGAAGGTGGCGTCTGACCCGGCCCTTCTGTGCCGGGCCCTTTGCCAGGGCTCCCCCGGGTGGGGCCCGTGTTTCCATTCCGCGCTGGTCTTGGGGTCTCCGGCCAGGTGTGGGTCGCACGCTCGGCCGTGGGAGGACAGGCGAGGAGGAGCACAGCTTCCGTCGCGTGGTCTCCGCTCGCGTGCTGGGCTTCGCCCGAGCCCGGCCCACGGCTGCCGATGGCCGGCGACGGCTCCCACCGCCCTGTTTTCCAGACCCTTCTCCCTCTGTCTTCTCAGGCCGCGGAGAGAGACAACCAAAACCTGGAGGACAAAGTGCGTTCCCTGAAGACGGACATTGAGGAGAGTAAGTACCGGCAGCGCCACCTGAAGGTGGAGCTGAAGAGCTTCCTGGAGGTGCTGGACGGGAAGATCGACGACCTGCACGACTTCCGCCGCGGCCTGTCCAAGCTGGGCGCCGACAACTAGCGCCGCCCAGAGCCCCGCGCGTGCGCCGGACGTCGTCCTGTCGCGTCGTTCTGTCCGTGCGGGCGCGGTCTGCGCGTTTCCCAGCCGGCCGCGCCGCGCTCGCTCCTCCCGAGCATCCGTCTCCTTTCGCTTCTCGGCCTCGTGAGGCTGTGGACACCGGGAAGGTTCTGACTCAGGAATCCAGAACTAGGTCTACCTTAACCCTTTATGCAGTCAGGGCAGGGACGTTTCTATCTTTCCCAAGGGCTGTTGCAACCGTATGAACTGAGAAGTATTTTCTAATCCAGATACCAATATTCTTCACACCGGGCCACGCGGCTGCTTTTATCCAATGGCGTTCAGAGTATTCGAACGCCCTCCGCGACCAGTCCCGGAGGGAACAGCGTCCCTCGGTAAACGCTGAGATGCTTTAAAACAACCCTTTGGTAGAGTCTCAGCCGGAGAAAGGGAACAGGCTGCTGGCGGTGCGTTTCTGGCGTGGTAGCCGCCTGCCCCCGCCGCACTGGCCGGTTCGTACGGTTGCGATGACGTCCCTTTTCTTGGTTTTAATTTCTGGGCAGATGATCGTGCTGTGAGAACAGCACTCAGTGAGGGGCCTGGCACGGGGCCTGGCACAAAGTAGGTGCTTAATAAATATTTGTTCACTCAAGCATAGAAACAGAATTTAGTGTTTTAATCAAACCCCACAACAGAATTCAAACCCCCGTTGTGTGATGCTCCTCCCCGGGGGGGTCTGTGACCCTGGAACCGCCTTCTCCAGGCAAGGAGGCCTGTGGCGGGCGATTCCGGGACCACTGGCTGTCCCTGGTATAGGGCCTGCCTAGAGCTTGGTGGGGTCCTATTACGGTTTGCACAGTTGAGAAGAAATCACACAGGCCCATGATGGGGAGAGCGTGGCTGGCCAGCCTTGGCCTTCGCAGCAGAGAAACCCTGCCCAGCTCCGCCTCTTGCCTGTCTCAGTTCCTGCTAAGGAAGGGACTGGAACCATAAACCCCTCTTCTCTGACAGAGCTGCTCAGTGGGGCCCGCGGGCATTTGGGTGCTGCTGGCGTCCTCCGTTAGGAGGGGGTGCCCGTGCACGGCAAGAGGTTCGGATCCTCGGCCCTGCACGTTCCTAAATGCCTTGGGCAGGGAGGCTTTGGTGCCCCCTTACCCCTTTGAGAACCACCTAAGAGAACTTCTCCCTCTGGAAATATTTGCTCACATGGACATGGCTAGGGTTTGGCAGCCTGCGGAAGGGTGGGGTCTACACAGACGTCACCCAGGCCCTAAGGTGAGCGTCCAAGTCCTGCTGCTCTGCTTCCCCGCACCGTCACGGCTCTCTGAGCTGCGAGGTCCTGTTAGGGATGGGGATAGAAGGGAAGGCTGGTGACCTGTAGCACTAGGGCACTTTAGGGGAGACCCTGCAGGCAGGGTGGGGGCTTTGGTCGAATACACAGGGCTCTTGGCAGACAGGAAATGGAAAGCGTGGTCTGCCCTCTAGCTGATTTGAGCTAGGGCGCTGCTAGACCTGCCATTTCCCCAGAGCTCCATGTGGCTCTCAGGACAGTTGGTAGCAGCTCCCTTCTGGCGGTGCCAGGAGACCAGAGAGCTGGCCTGGCCGAGAGTTGGCCCTGTGGCCCAGAAGGGAATAGAGGGACTTCTTGTCAAGCCAGCCTGGCCCACCTGTCCACAAACTGGGCAGGAACAGGGGGTGCTGGGATCCAGACACCCTCCGCTTGGGTCTTTAGATGACCTCCACCTCTGTTAGGTGATGTATTAATCTAGAAAGAGCCATCTCAAGTGACTGGAGCATGCTCAGGTGACGTATTCATCATAGGATAATTGCTAAAGCCGCTTAGCATTCCAGCATCAGCAACTTTAGAAAACCTTGAAAGCAAAAGCGTAGGAGACGTAGGAGGAGCCGTCACCACCGAGGGCCACTGTGAGGTCCAGACCCCTGGTCCCAGCTCGCCAGCCATCGCAGAGTTGGGTGAGCATCTCGCATCTTGCAGGCAGCAGGTGAGGAAGGTAGATTACTCGTGCCCTGCACCCAGCTCTCCTCGCAGCCCTGGAGCTGAGAGTCGCAGGGACTCCTTTACAGGGAAAGGTAAGTTGGGTTTGGCGGTGAGAGCACCGCTTTATGAAGCACTGAACTTCGCCTCCTGCTTTTCTCTGAAGATCTTAGTGTTTCTTCATTTACTTTCTTTAAAAGATAGTAATATAATAATGTCCCAGGAACAGCCTAGGCAGGCAGTCGGAGACTAGCCCTCTCTGACAGCCTCTGGCACTGTGGGCGGTGGACTTGATTCGGTGAAAATGCCCCGCTGAATTTATCCTGGTGTTCGCCCGGGCCGGTGTGACACGCCCTCGTGCATTCCGACGTCAGCCCAGTCTCAGTACCGCTCCGGGTGCAGGCAGGACGCAGGCCCTTCCCTCGTGAGCGTGCGGCCACGTCATGCTGCCTGGGAGGCGTAGCCAGGACTGCGTTTTCAGTTTCCAGGTGGGGTCTCCTGGCTTTTGACATTTCCAAAACTGGCTTTCTGCATCTGGGAAACCTGGGGCATAAAACGGGCCAGTGAAAACTTGGAACCTCTTTACCCATGAGGATCTTCAAAAGTAACTTTTCATTTTAGTCAAGACCCCACTGGAAGCATTTTAAAGTTGGGAGCAGCGAGGAAGTCTTCCTAGTGCCTGGGGAGTGGAGACAGTGTGGTCAGGCTGTGAAGGGAAAGAGAACCAGTGTTCACGTGAGATACCAAACCCGTGCGGTCGCTCGGTTTCATCTCTGCTGCAGGCAGTCACTTTAGACCCTAATTGGGTGAACGCACTGGGCAGAGATTGTTACCTACGTTTTGCAGACAGAAAGTAGAGACAGAGAAAGTGAGGTACCCAGGGTAACCCAACTGTGACCAGTAGTGTGGGCTCTGCATCCAGATGTCCTGGGCCTTTGTACAGTGTCTTTCTGCGCCAGATCGCTGTTCCCCTTTTGGTGACCCTTGGGTGCTGAGAGAAAAAAAATTCTTCTGTATTCTGATACAAGCACGTTGCAATTATATCATTTTAACGAGTGTCCGTAGCAAAGAGCAATTTACAAAGGCATGAATCAGAATCACCTTTAGGAATGTTCATTGTAAACAGTAAGTTCCATTTTTGAATGATTCTGGTTCTCCAGGGATCTCTCCAAGAGAGTTGATTAAAATGACCGTGCTCTGAGAGGCCGGTGTATGGAACACGAACTCACCTGGAGTTCTTTACTGATGGCTTTAGCGGAGGCAGAGCAATTTGTTCAAAACAAGCGGAAGGCCCTGAGATTGCACGGACACAGAGCCCGGCGGGGGTGGCCTGTCCGCTACCCGCTCCCTTCCTGGAGATGAGCTCTTCCTGGGGAGGGAGAAGGCTCGCCCAGTGATTGGAGCGGGTTCAGTGGAACCCGACCAGCACCCAGGATGACTGTCCGCAGAGCGCGGTTGTCCCCGCCTATGGGCTCCGTGAAAGCCTCATAGTGGTGACTGCAGGCCCCTGGCTGGTACGGGCCGTTTTCATGAAGCATCAGGCAAAGGGTGGAACATAATACAGTTCACGTGCTGCCCGGGAGCATTGTGACGTGCCCATTGTGAAAGGGCTCTTTATAGAAAAGTCTCTTCTATAGAAACTAGCACAACTGTGGATAAGAGCCAACCACGGGGTGTGCCTGGGACCTTATGGTGGGACCTCACGTGTGGCTGGGTGCACCCTCGGAAAGAAGGCAGCTGCGACGTGACTCAGTGCAGGCAGTTGGTGGAGCCGCCGTGTGGGAGGGAGCCAGCGCTGCTCTCTAACAACCCAGAGTGGGTTGTTTGTGCCATTCATCCTTCTAGACGTTATGATTCCCTTATTCCCTTGAAATGCCACTGGATTTGAAGCACTTGCAAACTAGAAGCTTGAAAATCAATGTCTGTATGTAGTTTTAAATGACATGCATGGTTTAAAAGGACCCTGATTTCTGAGTACGTGGCTTCCCCAGAGAAATAGTGTATGTTCTGGGGATGGCGGAGGTACCGGCAAGGAGAGGGAATCCTTTCTAGAAATGTGTGATTTACATGTCTCTTCCATGCACCTCCCTCAAGAATATGGGTTTTCTGGTTGACTGGGCAAGCAAGAAGGTGACTTTGACAAGAATTCTGGGTGGGATGAAATGTTCTAGTGAACCTAGGACTCTGTGTGTGTGTGGGGCGGGAGGTAGCACGGGCAAGTGGGAGCAACAGTGAGGAAGAGTTTTTAATAACAAATATGTAGACCTAAGAGGAGAACTTATTTTCGTATTTCTGGTGGTGGTGTTCTGTGTTCTGGAATCCCTTAACGGGGAGAGCGTGCGGGTCTGTGTTTGGGGTGGAATCGTGCAGCGCCCTCCGCTCTCTGATGGTGCGGAGCCCCGCAGTGGCCTCCAGGCCCCAGAGGCCCTGGCACAGTCCCCGCTGGTGTGCGTTTTGGCAGGTGACTGGCAGGACTGACGATGTGCAGCTGTGCGGGGTGTTTCTGTTCATACCCTGTTGTTACACTTTTAATAGAAGGTCTCGACTTTACATCGTTTGTAGCAATGTCTTAGATGTGACAGGCAAGAAGACATTTCTTGCATCGAAGGATAAGTATGGGGTGGGTAAGTGGAGTCTCCCAAGAGTACTGGGTTATTCCCCCCGCTTTTTTTAAATGCTTTTTGGTACATAAATAATATATACCTTTTTTTTAAAAAGAAACTTCAAATGAGTGGAAAAAAATCACCTGTTATTACCCCATCTGATCATAACCACTGTTAACATGTCAGTATATATCTTTCAGACATTTTTCTGTGCATCTATATTTGTTATTTTTTCCATGAAATATACATACTGTTTTATAACTTGTTTTTCCCCTTTAAATGCTATATTGTGAATGTGTTTCTATATTAGTAAATCTGTAATTATATCATTTTTAACATCTATGTAGGTTGTACCTGGGTTACTTAGATTGTTTCCAGTTTTTTACTGTCGTAGTCAAGGACATGATGAAATTCTTCTAACATTTTTTGTGAACTTTTCAGACTTTTTTCTTAGGATAATTGTCTGTAATTGGACTTGCTGGCTCCAAAGAATGCCCCTTCGCATCTGCGGCTCCTTTCCTTCCTGGGCATGTGGGAGACTTCACTCTCCAGCTCCTGTAGGCCTTCAGGGTCCAGCCATTAATTCTGGCCAATGACATGTGAGCAGAGGTGACATGTGGAACTCCAGGCTGAGACTGTGGAGTGCCCAC